GATGGTCGAAAATCTGTCTTAAGGAAACTGTGCAGCTATAGGCCACAACTTATTTCCATTTCGTTATTATGTCGATATTCAAATTTTTTATTCTAAACTATACTCTTTAGTTATTAATAAAATATTTTTTCTTTTTTCTTTTTCCTTTCGAATTGTTATTCTTGTAACAAAATCATGAATAGATTATGTTTACAAACGTGGAAAGGGCAGAAATCTCTTTCTTTTTTTCTTGTTGTCTTGTGATAGCTTACCTTGTTCTCTTCCGAGATTTCATGGATTGGGGATGAGAAATTCACAAAGCAATAAGAATAGAATCGGTCTGATCATTTATACTTCTTTAATTGGTAGAACTTTTAGTTTAATAACAGATAAATAAAAAGTTAATAAAAATTAATCAGAAATATATAAATAAAAGGTTTAATGAAAAAATAATTGTCCACACCATAACATATGTAACTTCATGCATCTAAAGAAAATTTCGTTCAAAGAACATGTTCAACATTTTCAATGTTACTCTTTTAAGTGTATATGTCATAACGGCTATTAAAAATTTGTTATTAGACACATTTTGCATTTAATTGAAAATTTTATTTAGAAAAACATAAATATATTGATTTTTATGAGAAAAAAAAACTTAAATTCTTTGAAAATACACACAAATTTCTATCCATAATTTCATCCAGTCCACTATTGCTTCTTGTCCGTCGTACAAGTGGCAAAAACCTCGAATGAGTTTGGCCTCTTAGAATGAGTCGGGGATGATCTCCATCTGACGCATTAAGGCCATGCCTCGGAAGAATGTGAGGAGTTCACTAGGATTGGTCTAAATGAAGCGTGGGGGGGTTCGTTCTGGTGAGAGGTGAAAGACATTGAGGTCTTAACAGTTATGGGAGTGGTGTCGGTGGAGATGGAGGTTTCAGATTGGTAGAACGAAAAGAAAAAGAAGGAATTCAAGCTTTTGATTGGTTGTTTTTGAGCGAACGGATACAAGCTTTTGACGGAAGTTGAACTGACGATGGCAACTCGCGATGAGAAAGGATGATTGGTAATGAATTCTGCTGACGGTGGGGGGTTCACCGACATGGTGACGATCGATGGCGATAATGAACTTTGAGTTAGGTATTTAGGGTATGATTTTTGGATGTTTTGTGAAAATAGGAAAAGATATGAGTTTTTTTAAAAAAAATGAAAGGAAATTAAAAGTTAGTCTACATGTCAAATATTAATTGGTTGAATGATTTTTAATGAATTTTTTAACGATCGTTATAAGATAATATATGTTTAAACTATAAAATTAGTTAAATTAATTTTTTAATAGTCTGATATAATTATAAGATACTATATATTCGAAATTTTTAACTAATTAAAAACATATTTTATCTTTTTTTTACTCAATTACATCGGAGATTCTTTTGTGGATTTCAAGCAAAAGCTAGGGAGATTAGGAAAAAGGATCTAGGTAACATTAGGTTTATTAAGGACAACAATGGTGTTCTTTTAACGAAAGATCAGGATATTAAGAGGGTTTGGGGTAGTTACTTCTTTGGCTTATTTAATGACGGTGCCACTCCATGTAGAGATAGTATCGTTGATGGGTCAGCCGACCATCATACTACGGCCAATGACTGCCCTACAAGTAGGATTGGGTTTGAGGAAGTCAAAATGGCTCTTAGAAAGATGGGAAGGGAGAAAGCTGTCGGTCCTGATCAAATTCCTATCACTGTGTGGTTAGCCCTAGGAGATGAGGGAGTTAAGTGGTTGACCAACATCTTTAATATTATTTTAGAGACTGCCAAGATGCCAGAGGAGTGGAGAGAGTCTACGGTGATACCAATCTATAAAAATAAAGGAGATCCTCAACGTTGTGGTAACTACAGAGGTATTAAACTACTCAGCCATACCATGAAGCTATGGGAAAGGGTGATAGAGGCTAGGTTGAGACAAGTTACTAGGGTTTCGGAAAACCAATTTGGCTTTATGCCAAACAGGTCTACCACGGAGGCGATTCATCTACTTCGACGGCTTATGGAGAAATATAGGGAAAAGTCTAGAGATCTTCACATGGCATTCATTGACCTTGAGAAGGCTTATGATAGCGTTCCTCGCGATACGATCTGGAAGACTTTGGAAACAAGACGGATACCAACTGCTTATATCCGGGCGATTCGTGATATGTACTGTAGATCTACTACTTACGTCAGGACTACAGTTGGTGACACCGAGGCATTCCCGGTGGAAATCGGACTCCACCAGGGGTCGGCTCTTAGCCCTTACATCTTCGCCTTGATTATGGACGACATCTATTGTGCGACACCAGACGCTGTACCTTGGTGTATGCTTTTCGCTGACGACATTGTCCTAGTTGCTGAAACAAAATCTGAGTTGAATAGTAGACTGGCTACCTGGAAGACTGCTCTGGAAGAAAAAGGTCTAAGGATCAATATTGAAAAGACAGAGTATTTATGTTCAAACTTCAATGGGAACCAAAACGATGAAGATGTAGAAGTATGCATAGAAGGACACGTGCTTCCTTCAAAGGATTGTTTCAAGTACTTAGGGTCTATAATACATAAAGATGGGGGTGTAGATGATGACGTTACACACCGTATAAAGGCGGGATGGCTAAAGTGGAGGGCCGCTAGTGGAGTTTTGTGTGACAAGAAGGTGCCTCTAAAACTTAAAGGAAAATTTTATAGAATGGCAATAAGACCAGCACTGTTGTATGGATCAGAATGTTGGGCACCCAAGAAAGATCACGTAAGGAGGATAGAGGCCGCAGAAATGAGAATGCTTCGATGGACATGTGGTAGGACTCTATGGGATATGACGACAAACTCTGCTATTAGGATGTCCTTAGGGGTGGTGTCTGTTTACGAAAAATTGAGGGAGGGAAGACTACGGTGGTTTGGGCACGTCCTTAGGCGACTACCGGCGGATGCGGTCAGGAGGGTAGAGTCGATTACAGTCGACGGTGCCAGAAGGAAAGGACGACCAAGGCGGAAGTGGGATGACTGCTTGAGATCTGATTTGATGGATTTAGGCCTTACCGAAGACATGACCTATGATAGGAAATTATGGAGGCTTAAGACTAGGGTAGTCGAGTAGTGTGGGTCACATCTATAGGGTGTATCATCTTTGTCTTCTTTTAAAGGCATTTGTAGTAATTTACATGACTTTTACTTTTTATACTTTTCTGTTATTGGTATTTATGAAAGATTAGAACTGGGCTTGATATCGTTGTCTTCTGTGTATCATTCTCGTCATGTTTCCTCTGTATAAATTTAGCCGGGCCTTATGTTTCTGTCTATATGCATAGATTCTTTCGCAGGGGTTATTTTGCAGGGATTGCTCCCCATTACAGAAGCACATATGGTATTAATGACTGCATATGAATACTGTTTAGCTATGTATTTATGTAATTATTTATACATGCATTGCATTTTATCTATATTCTTAATTTTCTGACTGCCGGAGGTCTTTCACGGAAGCTATTCTCAACCTGGCGTTGGGGGCAGCCTACTACCCTACCTCCCCCTTACCCCATACATATGGGAATTGGGTTTTGTTGTTGTTGTTGTTGTTAAATAAATAAATAAATAAAATATGGGATAAAAAATTTGTAATAACCCAAATCGAAAACTTAAAAAATTCATTGAGAATTTCTAACTCATTTATTTTAATAATTTACTTGATATTTTTATTAAATAGATATATTTGATAAAAAGTAATGGTAATATTAATAGAGGAATGAAAAAAGCTAAATAATTTATAAAAGATTTTATAGAAGTGATCAAAGTGGGAAAAAAACCTTTAAGGACCAATTTGTAAAGGATATAGAAGTAAATGAATTGCATTGCTATTAACCCAAATTGGATTTTGGTCACCGCCATTAAATCCAAAACCGGCCAAGAAAAAGAAACAATCCTAGACTAAAATGTAGGTTTGAGATAGTTGAACGAAAAAAAAAATATTATTAAAATAAAAAAAATAAAAAGATATTTATTAATAAAAAAATAAAGAGTTAATTTTAATCATTAATTTTCACTCATTAAATTTTTTAAAATCTGTGTTGAATTAATTTATATATATATATATATATATATATAGATTGTATTACCGTTTTAATTATTTTCAATTTTTTCACTTATGATAATGATTATAAAAGAATAATTAAAATATAAGTAATATAGTTTAAAATAATGTTATTTTAGCATATAGTGGACAACATCATGTGATGGGTCAACATCAGGGAGGTAAATTAATTCAAACTCCAAAGATTTTTAATTGATTGAGATGGACTGACCCCAACCCTATCAATCGATCAACATTAATCCCCCCACGACCTGTCCTTTTCATCCAAAGATCCACATTAATCTCCTCCGCCACTTCCATGTGTTGTTCCTACAACTTCACATGCATGCGAAGTAAATTAAGGGCTACTTTAATATTGTTTCTTAAAAAATGTTCTTAAATATATTAAAAGAAAAAATAAATAATTATTTTAGATATGACGTCATAAGTTAAAAATATATATAAGAAATGTTAAAATTATATCTAAAAATAAATTTAGGCATTTATATTTGGATGGATGAGTATAGTCGAATAGCATTTTTTTTTAGAAATTATTTATTTTATGTTGTTTATGATTTCAATTGAAAAACACTTCACAAAAAATATAATGGTCGGGCTAAGAGATGATAGAATCAAATCATAATCTATATAAAATAAGAATCTAATTACATTAAATTATCGGGAATAAAATATGATATTAAATTTATAAAAGTGTTTCTGAATCCATTAATGAAGATTATTTATCCAATGAGATATATTTGTTCTTGTTTAAAAAATCTATGAAAGAATAAGAGTAATATCAATTAAGTAATTTTTTTTATTAAATTAACTTATTTTTTTTATTAATTTAACCTATTTCTTAAATATTGTTATCTTTTTATACAAATCAAATATTAAATCAATTTACAATTCTACCTCTGATCATTAAATTATAAATACTTTATAACATCATATATACCTGTCCACAGTTATGAATTTTGATTTAACAAAAGATTAAAATGCTGCATTTGCACCATTGGTTGCCACTTAAAGTCCGGCGTCGTTTCAGCAGAATCATGGTCGGTCCACAAATCATCCAACAACTCCATTTGATCATCAGCTGCTAACAAATTTCGTAACTCGAACCCATCGATCTCATCGGTTTCCGGCGTTTCTTGATCGGTAAGAGACTCCGGAATCGAATGAACAACTGGTTTCTGGCACTGCATTGATGAATCGTCAGACTCGGGCTGGTTCAAGAACTTGGCGAAAACAATGGCTAGATCGATATCCCGTTGATCCCCATCAGAAGAAGTACATGAATTCTTACCGTAATTCATCGAAATTCGATTTTTCTTCTCGATCCTTTCCCTGTTAGACTTACCTCGTCGACTCTTCCGACATCCACCTCCGACCGGCACGTTCCGAAGGGAACCGCCTTTGGTCCAATACCTTCTGCAACCTTTGCACAAGTACCTAGGCTGAGACAGACTATAGTTGTTGTAATAACAAAACTTGGTGTTGGGAGAGGCACAGCGAGGACAATTGGGAGCGATTTCAACGTCGGAATTCCACTTTCTCTCCATTGGCAACACTGCAACATCTGCTGCTCACTAACCATGAACATCATTTTGTAAATCTGTATATTGTGAGAGGGAAGTTTGTAAGAACTGTAAGCTGTAAATATGTATAGGGTAAACTACGGCGTGGCTTTTGTTATCGGTCTCACCGACTTTCGTCATCAAAAATAAAAAATTAAGTAGAATTGGTATCTTAAATTATCGGTCAATCTGATTTAAGTCCATATGTTATTAATTTTGTTCAAACCCTTTTATTTTAAGTCTCTTTTGTTGAAATTACTAACATGGACGAGGGATTAAATCGAACGACCAATAATGTTAGGGACTGAAATCGGACGGACCGATAATGTTGGAGACTTAAATCGAACGGACGGATGTCGTTAGTGACTATTCCTCTTTAATATTTTTCAGTGATCAAAATCGTTTAGACCGAAAACATAGGGAGCTATCGACATAGTTTACCCAAATATGTATATATATGTATGTGTGTGTATGGCGTTGATGGTGCAGGAACGCGGCCGGTTGCCTAACCGTCGGGAGATGGAAATGCGCGTAGGTGTGGTTATGTCTAGTTTTTAGTGCTGCGTATGATCGGTTGTGTCGGGTTCGAGCCTGTGTTTTCGTTGGTTGATTTGCTAACGTGGATGGATCGAATTTCAATTGATTATAATTTTGTATATAGGGATGGGCATGGGTTAGGTTTGGTCGGATTTTTGGTCCACCTGACCCAACCCGAAAACAAAGGATCCTCCACCTGAGACCCGATCTGATCCGATCAAAACAAAATTTTACCCAACCCTACATATAACTTAGAAACCTGACCCGATATAATAAAAATATTATTTTATTCAATAAAAACAGTTACTTAATTGAAAAAAAATTATATATAGAGGGGTTTTATTGTAATTATTCCTAAATATATAAGATAAAATTATATTTTTTTCGGGTCGGGTATTTTTTACCCTAAACCCGAACTCGACTCGACCCGACCCGAACATCACACTTAAAAAAACCCAACCCGACCCGAACCCGATTTTAAAAAAAAGCTCGACCCGATCGGGTCAGATTGGAACTCGTCGAGTTCGGGTCCAATGCCCATCCCTATTTGTATCATCTATATTTATTATAAAATTTATTGAGTTTGTGTTTTCTTTGTTATTAAAGAAAATAGGTTTTTATTTTGCTAGCCCTACAACTTTATTCTCGGAGTTTGGAGTTAATCACATTACATGTACTTATAGTATGGCCCTCAATTTAAATTAGTCCTTAAACTTTTAACTGGTTCAATTTCATTCCAAAACTATGATAATAATTCTAAATTAGTCCCCAAACTTTTGAAATTCATCGCCAAACTATGACATTCATTTCTAAATTGGTCCCAAACTTTTTTAACATTCCAATTTCATCCCAAAAATGATACATATATACTAATCACATCCCTTGTTAATAAAATTATTAGGCCAAGTTATATTATTATATGTTTAATAAAACAAAATTTAGGCTAAACTATGGTTGAAATTAATTACATATTTGGATGAATTTGAGGATGAATTAGGAATATTCAAAAGTTTGGGGGACAAATTTAGAAATATGGTCATAGTTTAGGTATGAAATTAGTATGTCCAAAAGTTTAAGGATTAATTTAGAATGAGGGTCATATTTTGGGGATGTAATTAGAATATTCCAAAGTTTAAGGACCAATTTAAAATGAGAGTTATATTTTAGGGACATATGATGCAATTAACTCTATTGTTTGCCATATTTTTTTCTTTGTTTGACTAGTAGGGGCACCAACATAATATTGGTGTTTTTAATTTTTAATAAATTTGTTTTTATGACTATAGACACTCATTTTCGTCCGATATTTTTGTTACACTTTTCTATTATTTTAATTATATAATATATATATATATATATATATATTGTTTTTAGTGGATTAAAGTTATAGAAAGTGTTCTTAACTCAAATCCAAACTTCTAAATAAGTTAGTAATCCACTTTTCTTGCTCTTGGCTAATGAAAGAAGTGGGGGAGAGCTCCAAGGATAGGGGGAAGGAAAAAGTGAACCTTGGTTGATTTGGGAAGGATTTAGAAGCAAAAGAATCAAGGTAACACATTCAAAACTTCTTAATATCACTTGTGAGTCATTAGAGATGCATTTTAGCCTAAAGTTGAGTTATGGAGAATTCATGGTAGATTCCACGTTCTGTGATTTTTAGCATGTTTAAAGCCTTCTTTATGACCATATTACCAAACTAAACACTTAAACAATAGTTGGGGACCTCAATGGGGCCTTTTGGGTAGAATGAATGGATTTTTCGTGCCAAGGCAGGGCACCTAGTATCGATGGTATCGAAACTGTTCATCTTTCAGGAAAAAAACTAGGCAATTTTAAAGAGGTAGTATCGGTACTAATTCATAGAGTATCGATACCAGGGCATAAGTATTGATATTGGGTATTTTTCAAAACATTGAACCTAACTTTGGTATCGATACTCAGGCAAGTATCGATACCCCAGCACCAGAGTATTGATACTCAGTCTAAAGCATCAATGCTCCTTTATCCAAATAGACTAGATCAATCTGAGGGTATCGATACCAGCAGGTGGGTGACAATACCAAGGGTTTAGCATCGATACTAAAGGGTCAGTATCGATACCCACAAACATTTTAGAGATAGCATTGAGTTTCCACATATCATTCAATACATATCCTCTACTTACAAATAGTCAACTTCTAGACAAAATCAGCTTTTGTGATTCAAACATCATTCTAAAGCCGTGAACACTTAGGAGTGTTCCAGAAACAAGATTTTTATGTATGTCAGGTATATACAACACATTCTGCAGTTTGATTTCTTTTTCTGAAGTCATCTTCAAGACTATAATACCCTTCATATTGATTATGAAAGTCGTAGCAATACTCATGTAGAGCTTCTCCCCATAGTTGCAAGGTGTTAATTCAGAAAATGAGTCATTTTCGTAAAAACATGACGCATAACTCTAGAATCAAGCCACTATTCTCTTGGATTGGAGTCAACCAGATTGACTTCAGAGATCACATCACATAGATCTATATTCTCCACTTCCTTAGTTATTATTTCTATAGCATTAGCCTTGTGAGCTTTGGCTTTCTTTGGATGTCTGCATTCAGAGGATTTGTGCCCCGTCTTTCCACACTTAAAGTACTTCCCATGGAATTTCTCCTTCTTGGAAATTCCACCTTTAGGTCTCAGCTTTGACCTATTTTTGGTTGTTTTCCCTTTTTGAAGTCCCTGACTTCCATCACGTTTGCCTTAGCCTCTTGAAGGTTTATTTGTTAAGCTTTTTAGCATTAACTATATTGTCTTCTTCTATTCAAAGTCTGACAACCAGTTCTTCCACGATCATTTCCTTCCTTTTGCACTTTAGATAATTCTTTAAATCACTCCCTCCAGGAGGTAATTTCTCAATAATGGCGGGTATCTGAAAGGATTCATCTATTACCATTCTTTCAGAAAGAATTCCATTGATCAGTAATTGGAGTTCCTCCACTTGTTTTACTACTGGTTTAGAGTCAACCATAGTAAAGTTTAAGAACTGGGTAATTAAAACTTTTTAGCTCCAACATCTTCAGCTTTGAATTTGTGGTTCAATGCCTCCTATAATTTCTTTGTTGATTCATAGCCATATATATCGGATATAGAGAATCTTGTAGATTATTCAGTATTACATTCTGAAATATATAATCAGTCTGCTTCTAAGCATCAACAATATTATAAGTGGTAATATTGTCTACCTCCCCTTCTCATCTCTCTCTTTAAAGATAGGATATCTTCATTTAAGAACTTAGAAAGTTTCATCGTGGTCAGATAGAAAAACATCTTCTGTTTACATTCTTAAAATTCTCTCTTCATAATTTTTTCTATTTCTCATCGTGGTTAACTAACAATGTCGATTGACTCGTATTCAGATTTGAATTATGAACTGAAATCATCATTGTAGTCTTCAAGTTGTGTAAACCGGTAGAGTCTATTGTCTTCATTTTCTGTAAAAAAAAACGAAATTGAAATTACAAATAATTCCAATAAATAGAAAATTAATTCTTGTTCTTTTTAGATTTTGTTATCGGATAGAATCAATATTCTGAAATAAAACCAGTAACCAAATTTACTTCCACGATCTCTGTTATACAGATTTGTCCACTTTGAGATTTTAGACCCCGTTAAGACATTAACATAAATCCTGAAACAAATTTGTTTGCTATCTTGTCTTTCCCACAATTCCAAATCATCTCGGATTAAGAAAGGTACAAGAATGAAGTATTTTACGTCTTAAAATTGTTATCTGGAATAACAATTCGAGACGAAATCGAACTTGAGAAAAATAAAAAGGAGAAATTAAATTTCTTAAAAATCAAAATAAATTGAATGAAATGAAAAATACTATTTGATTTGGATCTTTTGATCGAAAACAATTGAGGTTTGTCGCTACATAATTTCCTTAAAACATATTTTCGGCCACTCCTTTAGTGCTCGAGATCTTTAGTCGTCTGTCTCCCAAGATACAATAACTAAATGATCAACAAACAGTTGCACAAACTTTTGAGATCACAAACTATACATGCCTTCGTTTATCACAGGAAAACTAAGGAGAGAAAAAATTTTCTAAGAATGAGAGAAAATAATTTTTCAAGAAAGTAAAAGTTATTGAATTATGAGATACAAAAAACTTAGCAGGTTTGATCGGTATTTATAGGGGTTTTTCAAGAGAGTTTTACTCCAACCATATATCTTTTAAAATCTAAATGTAAACAAATAATAATATTTTAATTTGAAATATTCAAAATATATAAACTCTTTTACTATTCAAACTTAAATAAATATTAATTTATTTTTGAAATATTCAAAAGTATACAATTATCTCTTAATATTCAAAGTTAAATAAATAATGAATACCTTTTAATTTGACATATTCAAAAGAATAATTGTCTATAACATCCTCCATACCGGGTTAGTGATTAAATTATGAGATTTAAAAATTCAGTGACCAAATTGGATAAATTGAAAAGTTCAAAGAATTTATTGAAATGTTTGGTGTAGGATCAATTAGCAAAGAAAGTGGAATTAAAGGGGCAAATGATTCTTTTGACAAGGAAAACAATTAAATATTAGTTGATGAGATTTTATAACCACGTGGAAGTTAGTAGAGAAGGCAAAAGTTTCTAGATTTCTCTTCTTCTTCTTTCTTCTTCTTCACCGTGAAGACAAAGCTAAAGGTGAGTTTTCTTGTTAATTAAATTCTTGATGAATTTAAGGTTGCTTATTGATCATTAGATGATAACTAAGCTTAAGGAAAGCTTAGGTTATCTTAAAACAATAAGATGATGGGGTTAGGAAGGATTAAAGAAAGGAAGTAGAAAATAAAATATTGGATTAGAATTCATAATAAGAATTAGAAGTGGGATTTGACTTGTCATCAAGCTAATTAAAGGATACGAAGTGTCAGAATTCGATTTAGTGGAATTTGAGAGAAATTCTTAAATTTTATATGGAGAATTGGATTTCTAAGTTTTAAAGGTATCAAATGGATAATAATTAGTTTAAGTAAGTGTATGCAAGTTAGGGATATAAAAGAAGGTGAATTATGAAGTGTTGAGAGGATTATAAAGAGATTTTCGTGCTCAAAATAACATTTCTGGGCTATGTGCATCGATGCACATTCAATATGCACCGATGCATCAAGGATAAATCCCAGAAATTGTTCAAGGTGTATCGATGCACATGAAGTGCATCGATGCACTAATTTAAAATAAAAACATCGAATGCCATCAGTGTATCGATGCACAAGTAGTGTATCGATGCACCCCATTAAATACAAACATCGAATGGGATTTATGCACCGATGCATAGATAGTGCATCGATGCACACGTCAAGGGATACATCGATACATGGTGTAGTGCATCGATACATACCTCTATTAAAAGATGAAAATGGACATTATACAGATAATATGCATATGTTATTGCATTTCATTTCATTTTTGGCATTCTCATGATATTTCCTTATTATTATTATTATTATTATATTGTCTCACTAAGTTGATGACTTAGCGTGTGAGTGTTTCACACATAGGATCCGAGAAAGTAGACGAGACAGGTTAAGCAGCTGGGCAACACTACTCCTGCAACTATCAGATCAGAGGCAACTTAATCAGTAGGTCCTTTTGTTATGTAAATAAATATTGGCATGTAATCAAAGGATCGAGTTGGGTATGCTCTGAGTATTTTGATAAACTTGTATTAACATATGTATATTATTGTATTTTAATAATATAAGTTCAAATGTTTTATTGGTTTTTAAGAGTATTATTTTGTTTAGTCAATGTGACATCCTGGACTCGTATCCGGGTCGGGTATGGGTTGAGGGTATTACATTGTCCTACTATTATTCGAATTAAATAATATCTTTTAATTTAAAATATTTAAAAGGAATATGAATTTAATATAAATATTAAATCCATCAATTAAATTTTTTTTTTTCAAACAGCTCATATTTGAAAACCCATCAAAATCTGTTGAACATTCTTGTGAAAACAAAGAATAAATTACCGCGGCTAATGCAATCCAGTAGTGGCTATCACCATCGTATTTGATATCAGGGGAGCCTGGTAAACTAACAATAAATTTCTCCACCTTTCCCTGTTTGTTTTCCTTGATGTAATATTTTCTACACCTTCTTCTGCAATGTCTACACCATCAGTAAGTTTGAATTTTCGGCCATCAGCCTCATTCGTTAGCAGCTCCACCTCACCATCTCTGCTTATATTCAGCAGTCCCTGGTACATTATCGACTCTACTTATACTGATATTATTTATCCAGGCCATGATTAACCTGTGTAAGAAAGATGAACAAACCTTAAGCATCAGCTACAATGAGTTCATTATTGAGAAGTTGATGATGATGATGATGAAGGGTTAACTGTAGGTAATGTTCGATGTCAGATAAAATTAATGAGAGGTAACATCAAGGATCGTACTAAATACGAATTAAAAATTCGGTGATTATATTGTACATTTTAAAAGTTAGGTGACTAAAATTCATTTATTTATGTTTATTTGTTTACGTACATTTATGTTCATTTATCATTTTAAACGAACGAACATAAACAAATACGAACTAGCTATATTCTTTGAAGAATGAGCACGAATAATTAATTTTTTTCTTTTAATTGTTCATGTTCATTTTCTCGTGTAAAAACGGGACTTGTCTGGTGTAGCGAACTCCTCGTTCTCCTCTCATCTTCCGGTCAAGCCCATCGCCAAAAAACATCATCTTCAACCCATCTTCAGTGTCTCCCTTGTCCACCTTGAACCAGAAAACCCATCAATTCAACATCCCTTAAACCCCATTCAGATTCCTTTAGAATTCGATTTCTTTCCAAAGCTTCTCTTGGGGAAAGCGATTCTTCCTCAGAGGACCCCCTTCCTTTGGTGGGTGAGGACTCTGCAGCCTTCGATTTGGGGACCCAAAGCATCGTTTCTTGGATTTATTTCACTCTTGTTCTGGGAATTGTTATTTTCATCCTCGATGTTGTCTGGATTGATAACTCCACTGGCTACGGAAAAGCTTTTATTGATGCAGTTTCAATCCTCTCTGACAGCCATGAGGTTAGCTTTGGAAAATCTGTAATTTTATCATTGTTTATGCTGATATTTGAGTTCAATTCATACTTATTGCTTGGATTTTTCTCTTATACACCAGGCCTATTAGCAATTTTAGATACCCACAATTGGTGTTGAATTAAATATACGAAAATTAAGATGCATTGCGGGTTTATTTACAAAAATTGTTCTCTTAGACAATTGGTGCTGAAGGGATAGACTTGCAATTTTATCTGCTGCAACTCATTCATAGGAATGTTTATAGGTTTTCTTAATTTATGTACCAAAATTTAACTTTTTTTCTATTGATCAAATGATTTTGACTTGCATTAACTCTTCCCTGTTGGTTTATATGATGCATTCGAGTATTCGACAAACTAATTTCGACTCATGAGTGAACGGCTGCATGTTCTTTCAAAATTATCGAAGCTCTGTTCCATTTTGATAACTGATGCCTTGCACTGGTTTTTTATATTCGCTTTTGTTGTCATGTTTTCCTTATACAACAGATTTACTCATTTTACTGTGGAATTAACATTTTTTACCTCAGTGTGTACTCGGAATGATGAGCTCGATAAGTGACAGATGTTTTATGTTATTAGCTATTACTTTGTCGTTGTTATTTGTGTTATTTTCTGTAATAGGGCTTTGATAATAAGAATTTGATTCTCAAATCCTTCTTGATAGATCGTAATGTTGGCCCTCATTCTCATATTTGCCACTGCCCATAGTGGCTTGGCTAGCTTTCGGGACACGGGTGAGAAGCTCTTGGAAAACGTCCATACCGTGTTCTATTTGCTGGTGTATCCCTTCCGTTGGCTTTTAGCACGGTCGTGAGTTCCAAATTTCTTATGTTGAACAAAGGCGCACTCAGTTGAAGTCAATTTTCATCATCTTGCAGCTTAAGTTTGTAATTCTTGCCCTCTCAAGTGTACTTCATCATACCGTGTTCTATTTGCAGGTGTACTTCATCAACCACAGGTATGATGGGATGCAGTTATGGCAGCTTCAAAATGTTCCTGGAGTCCATCAATTTGTATGGCTCTCGAATTTTATTTCCTTCTTTTTCCTATATCCTTCTACCTTTAATCTATTAGAGGTAGCAGCCGTCAACAAGCCAGATATGCATCTGTGGGAAACTGGCATCATGAGAATCACCCGGCATCCACAGGTTCACCACTATTATCTTGGCATTATATGGTTTGTTTATGCCTTTACGGTTTTCCTTCTTCATGTAGAACACTTTCTGTTCCTTCTCCGATGTTTTCAAATTATCCACTTCGCAATTCCCTCTTATTTTTTCAGATGGTAGGGCAGGTAATCTGGTGATTGGCGCACACACTTTGGATTGGAAACTCTGTAGGCGTTGCAGCCTCCATCGGTTTGATGGGACATCATCTATTTGGTGCTTGGAATGGCGATAGGAGACTAGCTGTGCGACATGGGGAGGCTTTTGAAGTCGTAAAGAAGCGCACAAGCATCATCCCATTTGCGGCAATCCTCGATGGCCGCCAAAAATTGCCGAAAGATTACTACAAAGAATTCATTCGATTGCCCTATTTGTCCATCACGGCATTGACACTAGGTGCATATTTTCTGCATCCAGTAATGCAGGCAGCCAGTTTCCGACTCCATTGGTAGTTCGAACGACACCGTTGGATCATGAAAATTGTATAGAAAGGCGGGCGGAACCCACATCGAGGTCAAGATCATGGTTACACTGGCAAAAGATACATGTATTTACAAATCTATAAATGATTTGCAGCTGTTGTTTCATGAGCAATCCCTAAGTTCTTATATTAGAACATCATCACAATATGTTTCCTCTGTGTACTTTCATATAGTTTCTAATTTTCTTTCCTAAGCTAAACCTTGCTAAAATGGCTCCTGGGAGTCAACCACCCTGCATCGTCGCCGATCGGACTGTTTTCTACACCAAGGTTCAAAATATCTTCACTTTCTTGACACAAATTTGATTTGATCCTCGCTGTTGGTCTCGTCAATGGCAAAACTGGAAGTGACGCTTCGCCTCTGAGAACCATGGCAGCTTCTCTCACTGTGGGTCGTTTTTCGTGGTTGGGATGAACGCAACAAAGTCCTACAATGAGCACCCTCTCCATCTCCGAGACGTTATACCTCCCCAAAAGTCTCCAATCAGCCGCCTCGAGTAGTTTCCTTTGCGCCCATAGGTCCCAAACCCAATCTACAAGCACCGTTTTGTTATCAACCACGGGCCTCTTCCCGGTGGCCACCTCGAGCACCACCACGCCGAAGCTGTAAACATCGGTTTTCACAGTCGGAACACCGCAATAAACATACTCAGGCGCGAGATATCCGATAGTTCCGGCCGGTATCGTAGCTTCTCTCGAACCACAACTGTGTTCGTAGACTTCAGCTAAACCAAAATCCCCGAGCTTGGCATTGAATTCATCATCAAGCATTATGTTGCAGGATTTCACATCTCTATGAATGATCTGTCTCTGACATTCTTCATGTAAAAATGTAAGAGCTGAAGCAACACCAAGAACTACCTTTAATCTTAAGCTCCATGAAAGGAAAGTTGATGAATCTGGGTTTCTATGGAGAAGTCTGTCAAGGCTTCCATTGGCCAAAAACTCGTACACCAGCACCAACTCCTTCCCCTCACAACACCACCCTTGAAGCTGAACCAAATTCTTGTGCTTCAAGCAACCGGCCAAAGCGGCAACCTCGGTCGTAAACGGATTATTAGCGAACGATTTCTTATTGGACTGATCGAACCGCTTCACCGCGACAGCTCCACCGGAAGCGACGGACCCTCTATAAACAACTGCAGAAGCACCTTCACCAACAATTCTGTTCCTATGAAACCCCAGTGTAGCTGACTTGATCTCTGCAAGTGACCATCTTGTTGGAACATTATTAGTCATTTCAACTATAGCTTCTTCTCTTCTTCTTTCAACACTCCTCTCCTTCCTCATCACTACGAAACAAATGACCGGAACCGATATTATAACGACGACCGAAGCCACTAAAGATCCCAATAGAACCCACATGTTCCCAATCTTGAGGCTGGTTTTATGAGGATCATTAAGGGTAGATGAATCCTCTGGAAAACACATGAAACAATAGCCTAATTCAATGGAAGTGGTGAATGTTTCGAACTGCCAATGGTCGACAATGTGCATCGATGAACCGAGTCCATTTGAAGCCGAGAAACCGACGTGCATGTATTCCTTGAACTGGTTCGCGAGGTTAATTTGTGCAACAAGAAGAGGACTTGCAGGCTTAATCGATGAATAACTAAGCCATATCTGAACCAATTTGGTCGAATCACCATACTCGATCCACGCTCTAATCTTTTTCCCACTTTTGAGATCAAACCCTTTGGACAAAACATCAACCGAGGCCAAAGAAACAACCGAGTTAACATCGACACCGACATGATTGCCATTGATGTCACCAATTGACGGATTAAAACTCGTGTCGAACTCAACGGCAAAGAAAGAAGAAGAAGAAGAATCTTGGGAGTTGAAGTCATCGTCGAGCTGTGGGAGTCCCATGTAGCCATTGAAGAAGCTGAAAGAATCGGGCCTGGAGGATATGAAGAAAACGACGCCGTCGCCGAAGGGACAGATGGGGTTAGGGATGATGGAGAAAGAGAAGGCGGAGGTGAAAGAAGCGTTGTCGTCGAGGAAACGGACGGGGTAAACGTAGAGGGCTCTTCCGATGTGGGAAGGTGAAGAAGAAGAGTGGCAGGTGGTTTCTTGAGTGAGGCAAATGCCGTTGGTGCCGAAGAAAGCGTCGTCGTAGAGGGTGATGTTGTTGTTGTTGAGTGGTGATACGGGGAGAGAATTCAAGAGGGGACAGAGATTGAGCCAGAAGATGAACACACATTGAAGCTGCATTGTTTGATCTTTGGTGGTCATTTCTTGAGATAAACAGAGGATTTACTTTGGAATAAAGTAGTGAAGAAAACAGAAAATCTTGATTGTTTCATCTTCCATGTTCTTCTTGGATGAAACGGAGTTAAATGACCCAGATTGAAACGTCGAGCCTTGGGTCCTGTAATTTTATCCTTGTATGTGTAGACCCCATATTTTGTCCTCATCCCCAATAGTCTATATCTCGCCCAACCTGGTTACCACAAGAACACTATCACTTGTTTTCCTACCAATGCCAACGTAAAAAGGATGAGAGTGCATGTGAACTTTTATCCAAAGCATGTTCACAAATTGCATTATTTTAAAGTGTAAAATCATTGTGAAATTGGCTATAAAAGCCGAATGCATGTATGAACAAGCACGGGAAACAGAAAGGAAAGGAAAAAATGCTTTCATTTTAATTTTGGGTTAACCTCACATAGGGCCCTTTAATTTCTTGCCATCTTTTATGTTGGTCCCTTAAACTTTTGGACTATTTATGTTTAAGCCACTCTATTATCACATTTTTTAAAAATCAGCCACCAAATCCTTGAGTCTAATCACATTTAGGTCCCTCTAATATTACCTTGTTTTTACATTCTAGTCACCAAAACTCTATGTTTTTATTTTATTTTATTTTTGACGCTTTATTTTCGTTATTTTCAATTCGATAACCAATATGTTATATTTTGTGATGATTTATGCATGTAACTTTCATTTCCTTTATTTTACTCACTATTAACTTTTAATTTAGTCACTGTTGTTTTAATTTTTTGAATTTAGATCCTTGTTTATTTTTATTTAGTAACTATCTTATGTTTTCTTGCATTTTTAGTTAACATAATTAGGTTTTGGGTCCTTGTATTCATTTTAAATTAATTGTTGAGGCTCTTATTTGTTCATATATATTTATTAGATCATTCTACTTTAATCCTTTAATTTTTCGTTTGTGTTATTTTAGTACTTTTTTTTTGCTATTTAATCCCTTAAGTTTTTGTTTTTCTTGCAGCTCGTTCTTAAGATTAATTCGACCCATAAATTTTAATTGTTTCCAATTTAATTTTTAATTTGATTTTTTTTCATTCCTTTTATTTATTTGTTTTATTTCGATCTTAATACTAACTCTTTGTGTTTGTTTGTTTTATTTTCTTACTTTATTTATGATTTTTTAGGATAATTTTAATCAATCAAAGGTAAGTAATTTGAATCGAATCTCTAAATTTTAATTTAAATTGTAATTTTCGCAATTAAGACAACCCGATAAATTAAATGGTACCGAAAGGGCAGTTCAGGGTGCTAATCATTCCTTGACTGTAACTGACTCCCGAATCCGACATATTTATGGTAAAACGCAGATCAGGTAAGACGGTATCCGATCAACCAAATTTTTTTACGAAAAATAAATGATCGGTGGCGACTCCTAATATTTTATTTAAGTCGAAGCCCAATTCTGGGCCCACCTGAAAGGCGGTTGCGAAAATTTGGCGACTCCGCTGGGGACAGATAAGTGAGTCAGGCCATAATTAATTTTCGGTTGTATTTTTAAGCGAAAATAAAAATTTAAGTTTTAATTTATCTATCCGATTCTAATTATTTATCTTTGATTATTTTTCAAATAAATAGTTGTACTGACGTTTTTCTCAATGATTTTAGATTATCAAAATTTTTATCTCAAGCTCTATACCCGAGCTCTGAACCCTATTTAAGTGGGGTGAAAGCGACGCCTTCGTGAGAATTTATTCTCCGTGCGGGCCTAGCAAGTAACCTTCGGGATTCATATACCTTATGTCTTCGTGTGAATTTATTCACCGTGCGGGCATAAGGGAATGTGTCCTCTCGAGTTTAACTTGGTCCATACAAGCCTGTGATGGGTTTAGGACTAAGGGTCTGGCAAGCCCAAGGGGACACCAGCAAGGAGAACTCGGGTACCATTTTAGAATCTAAACCGAGAAACCATGGAGAATTAGAGCCTACCCCGAAACCACATTCCAAAACCTAGGATATTTTTACCCTAACCATGTTTTTTGTATTTTTTTTTCTTTTGTCATTTTTTTTATTTGTTTATTTTTTTTACTAACTTTTTTTGCCTTTGTGTTTGTTTTCTAGCATTTGCATCATAACAAGAGGCTATTGATCCCTAAAAATAGTTTGTTACACACGAAATAATCTGAATTAATGGACAAAGGTGTTGTAATACAAGAGATTAAAAACGCCGAGGCACGACTATGGTCCGAGAAGACGCATAAAGAGAAGAGAGACAGTCTGCAGAGTAACTATGTGTCAGAGCTGGTTAGCTACGCCTCTGTTAGCCTGAAACAGAATAATGTCCAAGAGCTGCGGAACATTTGGAACAGTTGGAAGAATGACAGAAAGCAGAAGTTCAGCCAACGATATGGTGATATTGCCCTCTTACTCCGTGTCAAGACTGATGAGCCCCTGCTCCGAGCATTGATTCAAGTCTGGAACCCAGGATATAGTTGTTTCACCTTTAACCGGGAGGACATGGTGCCCACCATCGAAGAGTATACTACCCTACTGCACTGTGAAAGTATCAGACTAGAGAGGGTATATATCAAACACATCAAGAGTCAACCTTTCAAGAATGGATTGGCTAAGATTGCAGGGGTTGATGAAAAATAGGTAACTGATCGACTCCGACACAAAGGTAACGGAGAAAGAATCGAGTGGATCCACATAAAGCAACTAATGAAGAACCACCCTGATGAATGGAAGACTATAGACCTTTTTGCACTGGGTCTGTATGGTTTGATTATATTTCCGAAGATCCTTGGGTGCATTGACGAAACCGTTATGGAACTATTTGAACAACTTCCAAGGCCAGTCAACCCAGCACTGACCATTTTGGCCGAGACCTTTTGGTATCTTAATCATTGAAGAAGAATTGGTGGAGGAAGGTTCATTGGGTGTGTTCAGCTCCTTCAAGTTTGGATTCACAGCCACTTCTGGAAGACTAACGGGGTCGCCTACCGCCGATTTAGCACCACCTATTCACCTTTGGGAGAGTTCATCACTATAAAATGGCATGAAGGCGCTACCAAGGAAAAGTGGATGAAGGTATTCACTCATCTTCAGGACCGGGATATTACCTGGAGAGCCCCCTGGTTATTCCTCAGTAACGTTCTTTACCGGTGTGGGGATTCTGATACTATGACCTTACTTGGACTTTGGAGCGCAGTTGGGTATGCTCCGTCGTTAGCACTTAGACAATATGGGGCACGTCAGTTCATCTCGGCCACATACGAATTATCTGTATCAGAGTTTGTGTACCACGGTGATAACTATAAAAAGATGATCAAAGAAGTAGCTGACTCATGGAAGAAAGTGTTCTGAATGGATATTGTAGCTGCAAGAGACATGCTTACTCCGGATTATGTAGAGTGCCGAAGATTGAGAAAAAATGACAACATACTGGTGCCAGACTGTGAAGACACCCGGACCATGGAGGAACATCTCAGGAATGTCCATTCCGAACTGGAGATAGCCAAGACCGAGTTTGAAGCTGTGAATAATGAGCTGAAGCATAAGGTAAGGGAACTTGAAGTTGAACGATACCAATGGAAGTTAGACGCCGATACTCAGAAAGATCGAGCAGACAAACTGGAGAAAGAACAGAAGAAAATCCATTTCGAGCTTGAAGACTTGAGAAATGGGTATCAAAATAAAGTCAAGGATAACTCCAATTTGAAAAGAACTTCTGAATACTGGAAAGATGAAGCTCATAGCCTAAAAAGGAAGTTTGAGGGGTATGATGAGCAGCTGAAGACTACTCAGAGGCGCTTAGCAGGTAGTCAACATCATAACCAATGCTTGAGAATCCAGGTGGCTGATCTGGAGAAACAGCATGAGAAAGATGGCAAAACAATAGCTGAGTTAGAAGCCATTCTTGATGAACTCAAGAAGCAAGCAAGCGAACTTCAGATAGTGCCTTTCGACGGAGGTTTACAGTGGCGTTTCCGTTGGGAGCAAGCTTAGCAAAGGGTGAAGTCTAGAGACGCAGTCATCCGAGATTTCCTGGATCAAGTACAGAAGGCAACCTGTCATCTACATGGCTTGGTAAGGGAAGCCGGAGTGGTTCGACAGAGCATTCAACCAGTAACAGATGAAGGAAGAAGACTTGTCAACCTTTTAGAAGATGTTCGGGGTCTGGAGGCTTTAGTCCGGATATACCTTTGATTGTTTTTATGTCTCTTATAAGATAAAACATTTTTGTTTAAATAAGGATTATTTATAATAACAGACACTTTTCTGGATCAATGCCTCTAAATTGCATACATCATGCATTGCATACTTTGCATTTTATATTTCATGTTTATTTTTTATATTTTCCATGTTTTTACATTCGTATTAACTAACAGAACATGTCTTAGAAAGAGCAAATACCAAGAGCTCAAGACACACATCATCCGCACAATACTCGAACAAAAAAGAGACAGATGGAGGCCAGAATGGAAAAACTCGAGGAGAACATGGCAAGATTGCAAAAAGAACTGGAAGATAAGATGGCCCAGAACAGTCAAAGTACCCTAGAATCCATCAAGAAAAACCAGGAGTCCTTGGTCGATCAAATCGTGGCCAAGTTATCAGGCTTACAGCATGCGAGTGCGCCAAGGGCAGGTTCATTTGAGGGGTTAACTATACCGCCAACCTAACAGGTGGTTATCTCACCCAGAGCATTACCCGGGGACTCATCCGCTACTAAAGGGAAAGTTGCATTACCCGGTGACTCATCTTCTACCAAAGGGAAAGCTGCATCTACTATTAAGATACAAACTTTTACGACCATCCCTGACAATCATCCGGATAATTACCATGTCCCGAATTTTGATGAGGAGGATAAAGCTAAAAAGATGGAAGAGAAAATCAGGATGTTAGAAGACCAGATGAAGATGGTCAAAGGGGACCAGGACTATTATGGGGTAGATGCAATGGAGTTGAACCTAGTTCCAGATTTGGTGCTTCCACCA